CCCTTCTCACGAGCACCTATACGAGCAGCCAGCCAGCCGCGACCCTCACGCCCCCTCCGCACCTTGTGCCCCCCTACCCCTCGGAGCGCACAACCATTGTGACAGGTTGCCGCTCGGGCTGCGGCCTGGCTTGTCGGCCGGCCACAAAAACCATTAGGACATCTCAAACGAGAGAGAAGAGCGAGTGAGAAAAAGAGCACGATGGGTTTAACCTCCGGAACCGATCAGTCTACAAACAGGTTCACAAGTAGCTCCATCGTCACCGACTAATCGCCGCCGACTCATCATAAAGCTCGGAGATGAACGACGCAAGTCCAAATCGTCGAGCGATCGATGTCACACTCGACGGTTGTCGTCGACGTCGGTGTCGATCGACTGTCAATTTTCCACACTTGCCGGAAGCAATCGGGCTGATTCGCCCGCGCGAATCGCTGATGTATCTCCCGGTTCTTTTAATTTCTGGAGCGGCAAATCCTTCCCAGCCGTGCTTTCCTCCTTGAGACCAACACGTCCCCGAGCGAGTCTTTCACTTTGTTTGTTCATGTGGAATTGTTATCTACGAACTCTGGCTGATTGTGAGTTACGTTCTATCTCGCTATGACTATCGCCTCTAACCCTCGTCAGGCCGCATATCAGTTCGTACGGGACTGTTCGATCGAATCGACCGTGCACAGCCGTCGTCGCTGCTCCGTGCGGCTTTGACCGTCCGAGCGCTTGTCGTTGAGCCCCGAGCACTGTGCACCGGTCACTGCGCCGGCTGCGACCGCTGCCATTTCTCTGGAACAGCGAGGAGTTCCCCCCCCTCCCATTTCGCTTCGTCCTCCACCCGTTTTCCTGAACAACTACTACGTCTATGGGATCGGAGTCGAAATTACTTCGAAATTCTACCGTGAGCTCTTCACGCATGTCATGTCTCCGGCTCGATGGAACCACGTGCGTGGAAGGTTCCCTACAGCCACTCCGCAATAAGCAGCCCTCCAGAGTCCCTGCTCATCTTTCAGCCCGGATCAGGCAATCGATACATCGGTCAATGGGAGAGCTCCAACTACTGGAGCTCTTCCATCGCACTCCCTGTTCTCCGGGCGCACTGGAATCGGTCGACTTCTCTTCCCCGCTCGCTGTCCTGACTGAATGACACAACCCATGCGAGTTTTTGCGTTTGAGCCTGCCACCGACTCCAGCTCCGTGAAGCCAATGATTTCCACCTCGTCATGATTCAG